GCATACAATTACTTCATACGTTGAGCCATGTTTTCTTGAAAGTTCGATTGTTTCAGCTTTATAGTTCAAAAAAAGGAACAGCTTTTGAAAATTCAAAATTTTCAATTTTTGACCTTGACCTTTTTTGACCCTGATTTTTGTAGGATTAAAGGTCATTCACATTGGCTATCTATTTATACTTTTATATTTGCTGTCCTATCTCAACTTCCGGTTTTATAGCCGTATATATTTAAAAATTTTGATGACTTTTATCTCGTAACCTTGACCTTTGTTGACCGTCTCCCTTTCAATGTCAAATGTCATTGACCTTGGCTATCTTCTGATACTTTCATTTGTGCGGTCTGTCTACTTCCGTTATAACAATCTTCCAAAGAATTCTTCTCAACTTTAGACTGCTCTTGCGCGTGATGTAATTATCGTAGAAGGTTGATTTTTTCAGAGTCTTTTGCAATTTGCTACATTTGCAAAGTCCCACTCTGTGCCACGTGTGGCTCTAGTTTTTTTTTTTCGATTTTACACACCTTCCTGAGCTTAGACTACAATAGTTGCAGCAACCATTCAACATTCACGAACCTTAGATATAGGCGACGATGTGCATAAATATATTTTGGATCTTTTTTGCAAAACCGGAAGTGCCACAGTTCAATATGTGCTAGAATAGATAATCGGCTCTAGAAGTCGTATTTTTTGGTCGATTTTCTTTGGGTTTGCATTTTTGGAATCTACTGGCAAAATCTAAAAGAATAGCAGTTTCGAAATTTCAAAATTCGAAAATTTGTCGCAGACATTTTTTTTGCCAAATTTTGCATTTTTTTCATTTTTTTGCTTTTTGTCTGATTAATCTGAAAAAAATTGAGCAAAGACAGTTTAAGAAAGTAAACAAAATGGTACAGTCAAATTTTCAATTTCACTTCCGGTTTAAACAGGAAATCGATGTTCACTTCCGGTTGAATATCTTCCGGTGTAATTTGTATAGGACAAAATATTTTATGCTGATAGGTAGACAAAGTTATGACAAAAAAAAATGAAGAAAAAAAAATCCGGAACAGACGTGAAACTTTGGCCGCCATTTTGATTTTTCTGAAATGATTCGATTTTTATTCAGACATAATGGCTCATCCGATTTAAATGATTTTGGTGTCAAATGAAAGAAGATAAAAAAAAAACATGACATTAGGAAGCCGTTTTTCGATTCTCAGTTTTGCTTTTTTGCAACATCCGGTTGAATTTTTTCAAAGTTTGAAGGGTCATATCTCGTGATCTTGAACTTTGATGACCTTGACCTTCATAAGGTCAAAGGTCGTTGACCTTAGCTATCAGTTAATACTTTGACATTTGACCTCCGACATATACTTCCGGTTTTATAGCTGTCCGAAAACAGCCAAATTCGGAACTTTGGACTGCTCTAGCACGTGACCTAATTAACCTAGAGGGTTAATTTTTTCGGATTCTTAATGTACTTTTCATGCTCTTTCAAGTGATTTATAACAATCGTTTTTTAAAGCAAAATTGAAATTCAAATTTGAGGTTTTTTTTACAATATTTCTGTTTCTTTGAGCTTGGTGTGTATATATCTTATGCCTATTTTATGTAGAACATCCGGGTTGAATTACTAATTGTTTACATTTTGGGAAAGGGGCATAACTCGCATAGGATACATTTGTTCAAAAAGGAACTTTGCACACAATTACCTCATTATTTTGGCCAGTTTGTGTTAATAGGTCAATTGTTTCAGCTTTATATTTCCAAAAAAGGAAGGGTTTTGAAATTTTCTATTTTGACCTTTATTGACTCTTGTTGACCTATATCTTTTGACCTGTATGATGTAGAAGCTTTAAATTTGGAACACAACATACATTCAGAATATCAATTAACCTATGCAAAAGAAATTGAGGTGGGCCTAGCACATCCGGGTTAAATTACTCATTATTGACAATTTTAGCAAGGGACATAACTCGCAACGTATATATTTGTTGAAAATGGAACTTTACTTCATCCGTTGAGCCACGTTGTCTTAGAAGTTCCACAGCTTTATAGCTCAAAAAAAGGAACAGGTTTTGAAAATTATGAATTTTCAATTTTTGACCTTGACCTTTTTTGATCCTGATTTTTGTAGGATCAAAGGTCATTCACATTGGCTATCTATTTATACTTTTATATTTGCTGTCCTATCTCAACTTCAAACCTTGACCTTTGTTGACCGTCTCCCTTTCAATGTCAAATGTCATTGACCTTGGCTATCTTCTGATACTTTCATTTGTGAGGTCTGTCTACTTCCGTTATAACAATCTTCCAAAAAATTCTTCTCAACTTTAGACTGCTCTTGCGCGTGATGTAATTATCGTAGAAGGTTGATTTTTTCAGAGTCTTTTGCATTTTGCTAGATTTGCAAAGTCCCACTCTGTGCCACGTGTGGCTCTAGTTTACTTTTGTATTTATTAATAATTGTTTTTAGAATAAAAATATTGTCAACGGTTCTGCGATTTTTTCGAAATCCATGCTGGGCTGTATCGATCATGTCATTTAGTTCCAAATAGTTAGTTATTCTTTTATTTATTATTGATAAGAATACCTTTTTGATAAACAACTACTTAAAGCGATACCACGATAATTATTCGTGTCATGTTTTTGACCTTTTTTGTAAACGGGTATTAGGAGAGATTCTGACCATGATGACGGAAATATACCGGTTGTAAGTATCAGATTAAATAATTTGTGATAGTGATCTTTCAAAGTATCTATAGAACTCATCAGCATTTCCTTTAAAATCATATCTGGGCCGGGTGATTTGTTCTTCCTCAGGCATTTAAAGGCAGTTTGTATTTCTTGATAACTTATTTCTTTATATAATTCCATATTTGGCACAACTTTTTTTTATAGATTTTATTGTCTAATTTTGATGTTACTTTACTCACCTCAAATAGTTTTTTGAAGTGACTTTGCCATTTATTTAGTGGAATGTTGTCATTGACCGAATCTGAGTCGTTTTTTTATTAATGAATTTACCAGCTTCCAATATTCTCTTGGATTATTGGATTGTAATCCATCTAGAAAAGTAGGACGTAAAACACCATTCATTTCATTTCATTCGTTGCTGTTATAATTGTGAATTTTAAATTGCAAATTTTTCAGTATTTATTTACATGATATTTAACAGTTGTTTGAAATAATGTTAACTTGAGTTTTATCCATAACGTGTATTTTGTATACTCACATTAATTCATTCTTATAGAAATTACTACCTCTTAGACTGGTCATAAAATTTAAACTCTCAAACTTGGTCAATGATAGTAAATATGCATCAGTTAAACTGACCAGGTCCAATGACTTGAGAATAGAATCTCTATACAAGACGGTATTATACATAAAATTGAAGGTGGATTCCGCTTTTTTTCGAATAACGTTTTCTTTATCAAAAACATCGTACATTTTACCTGAAAAAGTATGCTATTAATACCGACATGTATGTATCTACTTGAATATGTTTTAAAGGGGATGGAAATAGAGTCTAGTCATTCGAATGAGACAATAAACCGAGGCCCCGTGTGCTACAGGCTGTGCACATTACAAATCCCTCGACAATCGAAAAAGAGCAGGCTAATGCCGCAGCTGTCCTGACAAAATTTCCCTCATTGAACCCTACATGGCGTTGCCCGTCTTCATTTGCCTACATTGTGCAGAAAAGTAGGACGTAAAACTCCATTCATTTCATTCCATTTTAAAAGGGTTAATTAAAAACGGAAAGTAGGCCTACTAATTGTTAATTAAGCAATTTGACCTAGATTTAGTTGAAACTTTTTTTAACTAGTTTTGGTGTAAAGAAATTACCGGCTGGATTCTATGAGTTAAAACTTTCAGATACTTTAAAGGATACAATTCTCTAGATTGTTGTGTATAGTTTTCAAACAACGACAAAATCAGAAAGCCCCTTAAAATAATTAATTTAAAAAAGCTTCGAAATTACTTATCTTAATGAATTAATACTTAGTTTTATGGATTTATTGGAAGGGATTCTGTGGTATAGTTTTGATGAAAAAAAGACTCATATTGGCCAATTTGAACTTTTTGGCCATCCTAAGGTGTAGTATATCTTTTAAGGGACAGGTGCGCCATTTTGGGGGGTTGGTTTTAATCTTGGATACATCTAAATGATCTCCAGAAATACTAGAAATGTACGAAAATCGCATAGGCCAATTCCTTTAAAAATACTTTAAACTAGGAAATTTACTCACTTTTCCTATATTATATGTCTCTATATATCACAGAGTATCTTAAATTGACGAGTCGTCATTTTAACATACAATCGCGGATAATTCTGGACACACATAGATTTGAAGGCTCAATTTTTGACGGTGAGCTATGAACACTATTAGGCCTACTAATTGGCCTAGCTAAAAAAAATTCCCGTTTCTGAGACTAAAGTATGATAGGTAAAAAAAGGCGCACCTGTCCCATTTAAGGTTAGATCATAGTAGGTTAAATTTGCGTGGTAAAGAGGTGAACACGTTCGCGTAATATTTTCGTGGTTAAGATGTTGGGGGAGGGAACTATGCCTAGGACTTTTTAACCACGAAAACTTGTCGAATTCCAGCTTGTCCAAGATCTCAACAAATGATCGCACCAAATTTCATTCAAATCTAATAAAGATAGCTTGCCAGGCAAGGTAATATAAGTAGTATATGAGCTCATAGATTGGTCGCATTTTTCCACATTCCATTTCATTTCATGGGAAAAATGCAACCAATCTATGAACTCCCAAAAAAAAGACCTAAATTCCCTACATTTCATAAATTCTTACAGCAAAACCTCCTACATTTCATAAATTCTTACACTTAAAAAAGACCTAAATTCCCTACATTTCATAAAACATCCTACATTTCATACACCAAAAAACACCTTCAATCAATTTCCTACATTCCATCAAAAAAGCATATTAAAATAATGTAGAAGGGAGATAACTCTTTTTTGGAAAATTTCTACTCAAATTTTAAACCTTAAAAATGGCAAATAGAATACTAGATCCAATCTTGAGATTATATGATCCGATTCGTTATTCGTTTAACAAGAAAAAAGAGGATTATATTATCATCTCACCAACTGTTGGTTCTAAATCCCAATTGAATGATGGTGGTAGAATTACCTTCGAAATAAATTCATTATCGAATTGGTTGCTTCTTTCCGATGCTTATTCCAGATGCGATTTCAAAATTAAAGATGGAACTCAGAATCAAGTTCCACAAACTAATACAACGTTAGAAAATAATTTCTTTCCATCTTTATTTAGCGAGATGGTTTTGGATGCTGGTTCAAATCCGATAGAAACAATCAAACACCCTGGGGAATTCGACACAATGTTGAAAACAGTTTTATATCCTAAAGATTTCGATTCAGTCTCAGGTTGGATACCCGATGTTGGTGATGGAAGTGTTTTAAAAGAACCGGTAAGAAATGTTGCAAATGATGCCGATTTAGATAGAGTGAGAGTTGTTGCTCGAAACACAATAGAAAGAGTAGGACGAGCAGCTAATCATGGATTCGAAAAACGAGTACTTCAATATAATAATATTGTTGAGAATAATAGGTGGGGTAATTACGTAAATTGGAAATTATATCCTTTATTCGGTCTGTTGGAACATAAAAAAGTTTTCATAGGGTTACCATATAAAATTCATCTACAAAGAGAAATCAACGATGATAAGATATTCTTTGGAGAGAATGGTTCAGATGCAAAATTAGAAATAACGAATCTCCAACTTTTCATACCCGTAATAACACCATCAATTGAAGTAGAAACGAGAATATTCAACTCGTTAACTAAAGATATCGAAATAGCTTTTCTTCATCGTAACACGGTAGGTAGCATGACTTTAACTGGAGAATCCACCACATGGCCAATCACTAACACTATAAAACCAGCAAGATATTTAATGGTTGGTTTCAAGAACTTACCAGATTCTCAAACGAATAACAATAATGTCTTCAGAGTGGCAATGAACCAAACTCAAAATCCTTTAATCCATAATGTTCAAGTAAGATTAAACAACGATAATTATCCTAACCAACCTTTAACAATTAATCCAACCACAAAGGATTATAATGAATTGTATAGAAACTATAAAAATATGTGTGAATTATTTGGAAATCTGCCTCAGTTTGAATATGTAGATTTTGCACTTAATCATCCAATCTTCTGTTTTGATCTATCAGCTCACCAAGAAGATCTTTTCAAAACAGGAGTCAACATAAATATTCATATTGAAAAAACACAAGGAGATGTAACAGGTTATTGTTTATTATTGGAAGAAGCAAAACATTTAATTAAAATAGCAGATAGAAGAATGATAAGAATTGAGTAAAAAATACACCTTTAAAAATGAAACCAGAAACTTTAGTCAAGAAAATAATAGAAGCTATAGAAACAGCTTCACCAACTACAATAACTTATAATGGTAAAAAAATCAGCATAACTAAAAAAACTTATTGATAAATATAAATATTGTAAAGTCAGAGACGATATAGACTTAGAAAGAATTGACGCGAACGCAAAAGAAGGTGGATTTATATTTTCCCTACCTTTAATATTTGCTGGTATTACCGCGGCGGCTACAGTGGCTGGTGCTACAGCTGGTGGAGTAAGCGTTGTCAGCGAAAAGAAAGCTGCTATTGCAGAAGCTGCTGCTACAAAAGCTACCGAAGAAAAGAAAGCAGCCGAAGAACATAAACATAATTTAAAAATGGAAAAGTTGGCAGCAGAGGTTAAAAAACCTAAAACGGAAAAGAAAGGTTCAGGAGTAGGAGATATGATAGGCACAATAAAAGAATTTGGAAAAAGATTTAGTGAAGAAACCAAGAAAACTGTTAAACAAGGATTAAATAAATTAGTAGATAGTATTGACACAGGAGAAATCAAAGTCAAACATAAGGGTAATGGAATATTTTTAAAAAAATATACGCACTGGAGAAGGAATATATCTTTCAAAGTATAAAGGAGAAGGAGTGATTTTTGGAACAAATTAAAATAATAAAAAATGGGTAAAAAATTCAATCATTCAGAAATATTTCCTAATAACCCAATGCTCATGTGTATATGCGGTAGTTCTTGTTCTGGAAAAACTCATCTCACTTTTAACATGTTGACAACACCAAACCTTTTAGATTTCGATTCTTTGTATATCTACACAACAACACCAGAGCAATCGTATTATCAAAGCTTTAGAATATCTACAAAAGAAAGATGTTCAAGACCTATTTCAATATTACGAAGAAAACGAAGAAGAAGTGGAAATAAAAGATATCATAGATAACTTCATCGAAGCAAAGAATCCAACGGATATAAAAGTTTTTCTTACGAAAAATGTTAATGATCTAGACTTGTCTAATATTGATAGTAAACGAAAGAGCTTAATATTGTTTGACGACTGCATAGCGCAAAGAAATCAAGCTGTTCAACAAGAATTCTTCACGAAGGGAAGACATCACAACTGTCACTGCATATACCAATCCCAATATTTTTACGGGATGGATTCTATGTTTATTAGAAAAAATGCAAATTGTTTTTTATTATTTGAATTAAACGATAAAGACTTATCTCAAATCATTCAGTCGATAAATCACGGTATGGACAGAGATGCATTTAAAAAGGTTTGTAAAGCTCAATGGAAAAACCCAGATCAATGGCCAAACCCAGATCATGGATATATATTCGTTAATACTAGAAAACCTGCGGGTGAAAGACAGACATTTGTTAAATTTTATTTTTTTGATTGGAATAATATTTTAAAAAGAAATAAAGAATATATCAAAGCAAAGAATAAAATAAAAACCCAAGTTGAAAATAACAGATTACAACAACTCGGATTAACGGAAAATCTACAAACTCTATTTCAACCCATATTGAAATCTCAAGAGGATATTAAAAAGAAATTAGAAACTAAACAAATTCAACAATCACCGCTTCCTTCTATAGAATATCCCATTAAAGATGATGAAATCATAATTAGGTCATTATATGATATAAAACGTTATTTTTCAAACCCTAACCCAATTATATATATTTTTATATGAAATACACATTTTCCTTTTCATTTAATATAGGACAATTCCTCAGTTTCACCAGTGAAAATGTCTATTATGATTTCCATGGTTATTAATGTTCCCGTTGGAACCAGTATTCTTCTTATATATTTCAGATTCGGAAGATAATGGATTTGTATTTCAAATATTCTATATCATTCTTTTAAACTAACTTCACAAACATTGCTCTATCACTAGAGGTTACGCCTACATGCCTGTGCCTGTGCTTAACCGCAATGTTATAACCTAAAATTCCAAAATTACCAAAGGGCATTTAACCAATTGTTGATCATGATGGGTTATTGTTTAATGCATATAGAAAAAAAATTAAAAAAATTTTACCCTTTATTCGAAATCGATACAAAAGACTTTACATTTACAACAACAGAAGGATTAATAGATTTAATGAATGGCGGGGATGTTGAAATTGCCAATCGCAAGGATTTAGAACAATACTTAAAATTTCTGTATATGATAAAGACTAAGCGCAAAACAAGAAGATTGATGGCAGTTGAAGATCATTTAAAAAAAGTTATTCCTGATGAATATGAAATTGATGAAGTAGATGATGAAGTTGATGATGAAGATGAGGAATCAGATGATGAAGTTAATGATGAAGATGAGGAATCAGATGATTATGAAGAAAATTATCCACCAATCACAGAACAAATAGACGAATTGGAAAAGGAGATATCTAGTGGACAAGGTATAACGTTTTTATCCGACAACAACGAAGAATTGCTTAATAGATTACGAGTAATATTAGCGGCAATGAAGGAAGGTCATCGATCACACAGACAATATAATGAAGTAAATTGTATATTAAAAAGACTCCTAGAAAAAGGTATCATAGATAAAAATGATTATAAAAGCGTGATTAAAAATGTCAAATATAGAACAGCTATTCGTTATCACCTCAAATAAATCAGACATTAAATTATCTCTAGATTATGAGTACGAACTCGATCGCAATCAAGAATATGAATTGGGATTAAAGTATTTCTCAGTTTACAATTCCATTAGAAATATCAACGAAAAAAATAACCAAATAAAAATATCAACAGATAACGGAGTTACGTTCAAAACCATAAGTTTACTACCAGGAAGCTTTGAATACATAGCCATTAACGAATACCTATCTGAATATGGAGGAAGTATCAATGGTAAAAACAATATTGAATTCGAAGGTAATTTGAATCTGAACAAAATAAAATTAATATTAAGAAATAATAGTCAAGTTGATTTCAACGTAGAAAATTCATTGAATACGTTACTAGGATTTGATAAACGAGTATACACCCAATCCACTTTAGCACCACACAAAGCTAATATCGAGAATGATATCGATGTGATAAATATACATTGCAATTTGATAAACGGTGGATTTTTCAATAAATACAAACGTCAGATTATTTACAGTCTTCCAACATTCACTGTACCGATAGGATATAGAATTATAGAGAAACCATTTCAAACGACGTATTTACCACTTAATTCCTTTATGATTAAAGATATAAATCTGGAAATTAAAGATGGTAAAAATAGGTTTATAGATTTTGGTAACGAGGAAATTGTTATTCAACTTCATTTAAAACAAAAAAATTAACACTCTTCATTCTCTTCTTGAATAGTTAGATAATCAAAATCATCAAATTCGTAGTTTTCATCTATGTTCAATTCTTTTCCGTCGTTGTAAGGATACATGATTCCTTCACTGTTTGGTGCTTTTCTCTTAACGAGATTTAGATAACTTCTAAAAACTTTCTTTTGTTTATCCTTTGGAATAACTACTCCATTGGTGAAACTTTTTACCCAAGGTTTCTTAAATTCATTCGTTACATCGAGTCCACTAGCTAATCGAATATAATCCTCTGCGGATATCTTATCTTTTGAGTAACCCTTAAACGTTTTCTTTTCTTTTAAAACACAATCGGAAGTTAGAATGATATTGTATTTTACTTTTGGCGCTAAATATAAACCAAATATAATTCCACCATCACCGTAATCATTCTTTCCTTTACAATAATCATTTTCGGACACCAACCCAGCTTCATTTAATTTATCCTAATTGCTAGATGAAATGTATAAACTATCGGTATCCGTATAGTATATTTCAGGCTTATAAAATCCATCTATCACGCGAATAAAATTATTCATTATTTTTTACTGTGAGATAAAACGAATGATCCCAAATGACTAGGTGTTAGTCGTGTAGATTTAGGAGGAATAAATTCTTTTTCTTCTTCATTTATCTCAACTATATAGTGACTATCATTTACTTTTTCATAGCTTTTGAAGTGTGAATCATAGTTGGCTTTTAAAGTCGCTTCACTCCATAGATGTTTCGATGTATTTATATCCTTCTGAATAGATTTACCATACAACGAATTGCCTAATAATTTCATGCAATTACAGTCGAGTAACCTAATTTCGTCGAAACCTATTATTCGTGGATTTCCGGAAAGGATTAATCATTTACATGTGCGATCTCGCGTGACCTCCGCATTTGCTTGTTTTGATAAACATGGGTTTTCTCTACAATATCAGCTAGTAGAATGAATCCATTAGTTTAATCCAAGGTACAATGTATTAATGTATACTTTGACAAATACAAAATGGCGGATTTCACTTATTACCAAACGTCACCATTTTTTATCGGCCGAATTTCCTTATAATCCCAAGCGGTAATCGGAATTCCAAGTGTCGTCTGCTAGAATATATTCCAACGAATGAAGTCACGTGATCAACTAGCGGATTCTGTGTCAGCAGAAAATTTCTATGGAACACAAAGTGGACCATATTCTTATGTTGTTTCAGTGACTTTTAGCAATAAATCACGCTACGTATTTGATTTTGTCAGTAACTATTTTTTTTTTTTCGTGGTTCTTTGAAGGAATTGTCACTAGTTATAATGAATTGATATTATAGATGAATACTAAGAGAAGTTAATTATACCACCCGGTATCCATACAACGTGTTTTTCTAGACTTATTTATAGATCAAACATTGTATACGAAAATAGGTGACGCTTGTTGCCGCTGTTGCCGAGTTGGTTGCTCATGAAATGTGGGTCAAAGTGAAGGATTCATAAAGAAAATCGAAATAAACCAATTTTAATTATTTTGTAGACTATCTGAGGAAATATCTAAGACATAAAAAAAAAATTTCGTTTTTTTAACTTTGACGAAATTCGGTGTCGAATCCTTATATCCACGAAAATAGGTTACACCACTGTACTACCTACGATATTACCTTCTCGTTTATATTTATTTCTTAGATCTCTCAAAATTAAAATATAATCTCTATAGGGTGGAGTTTTAAAATACCATCTAATATTCTAATAATTCGTCCACCGGCTTTCACTATTTCTTGAATATCGACCGATGTTAAAACGTCGTGACAGAAACCATTTCTGAATCTGATTTTAGTGCCAGTTTCCTTTTTACCTTCTTTATTCGTGAAAGTGATTTTATCTTTAGCTGGTATGGGTTTGAAGAACATGTTTTTGGGATATTCAAACCACACTTTTAAAATGGCAGTTCTAGGTCTGAATTTCTGTTCATTAAAGAGCTTGACAAATTTTTTATTTTCTTCCGGTAGAAATGGTCTACCACTTTCCGCTCTCGGATATTCGCTATCTAAATCCGACATGGCGGAAGCGTACAAACCGTTAGCGTCAAATGCCATCAGTTTAATACATTTTATTTTTTTAAGTCTCGAATGAACCTCCGTTTTATCTTTCGTGCTAGCGCTATATTCTTTGAATAAATCAATTATATTATCAGTGTCACTTGCATTGTATTCCTTTAATATATTACAAATTTCATCCATTTTTATTCGTTTCAAATGATTTTCGATTTGCCGAAACTCTTCCTCCTTTAATACTTTGTCTGATAAAATATCTTATAAAAGGGTGAGTATGTGAGTAAACTTTTTCTACGTTTTCTTTTTCGGTGTGTTTCGGAACCATTCTAGTAGTTTCATACCATTCTTCTTCAATCATTTCTTTATCGTAATGATATAAATAATACCAACCCTTTAAAGATAAAGAAGGAGCCGTTAGATTATTGGAAATATTCTGAAATACAACTTCTTTCAATACTTGATTGTATTTTATCAAACAAGCTCCGAGACATAACGTATCTCTTTTAGCGTAAGGTTCCCATTCGTGTCTTAAAGATTCCCAATTATCTTTAGTGTATTTTGCAATATTAACATCCTCGATCTTTCTCAAATTCATTGGTAGATTAGATGAATTTCCCCATGCTGCCAAACTAGATGTTTCGTGTTGATAGGAACATATGAAATTAATATTTTGCAAATAATTAGATTTCGGGGAAGGGAGGGTTTTATTCTCCCAAATGTACAGGCCTAGGGTTGAGCAGACACTTTATTTAGAAATTAGGATTAAGGGTCTTGATATTAGGTTTTCTTCTGTTCTTATTCTGATCTGAAATTAGAAAAAATAACTCGCCCGATGGGCGAGAAGTATAGTATCTGTTATGTGCTGATTGTTTTTAGTTTACTATGAACAATATTATCATTTAAGTTCTTATTTTTTGAATATGCAACTATCATTTTCTGCTTATAGACATGGGGGAATTTCTCTTGAAGGCTCTTATAATGGGCATGAACTATCTTGCTTGCTCGATTGCTGGTTGTATTAAACGGGACAACAAAGGGTGTTATGCCTACATTATGATGAATATTTAGTCCTATAGGTCTTGCTGTATTCAATGTCTCAATCCAATGGGCTTCCCTAGATTGACGGAATTTGGTAGTTTCATCTTCGGGCAAGTCAATTTCTATACGCTTAATTGGGATTAGGGCGAGATCGTCTATTGAATGGTCATCGAGGTTGAAATGATTAGAAACAGGCTTGTCTTTCTTTAATTTGATGTCTGACCTATGAGCATTAAAGCGAGTTCGTAAATTATTCTTAATTTCTCCTACATTTTGTTTGGGGCATTTCTTGCATGAAATTAAATATATTACATTCGAATGTTCACATGTTAGATGTTCCTGGATCGGGTACCTTTTATTCGTAGAGTTGCTTACAAAATAATGAGTTTCTGATATAAAGGGACATGTTTTGCATCTACTGGACAAACATGGAGCACTTCTTAAACCTGGAGGTACTTCGGCATTAAGTTTGTTTTTAGCTGCTATTTGTGCTAAGGTGGAATTTTTTATGTTTCGTAAAAATCGTTTAGAGTACCCACGCTCTTTCAGTTTTGAGAAAACAATCGTACAGGCTTGGTTGAAATCAGAAGATCTTGTACAAATTCGATGAAATCGTAAAACTTGTGACTTAATTATACCAGAAAAGGTATGGTTTGGGTGAAAGGAGCTCTTGAGCAAGAGTTGATGAGTATCAGTTTCTTTGAAATACACTTTAATATCCAGTTTATTTGTTTCTGCTATGGAATCTCCCTTAAAGACTGTGGTATCGAGAAAGTCTATGCTTTTGTCACTCACATTTGCGGTTAGTATGATAGAGGGATGGTGGTTGTTGAGAATTTCAAAGAATTCCCAAAACTGTTCGATAGAATAAGTCCAAACCATAAAAATGTCATCCAAAAAGCGTCCGTAAAAAAGTGGGTCAAATGGACAGAGGGGCAACACCTCACGTTCCCACTCTGCCATGAAAAGGTTTGCGTACGATGGGGCGAATCGTTTGCCCATTGCTGTCCCTGAAGTTTGTAAATATGTTTTACCATTAAATGTGAAATCGTTTCGACTAAGACAAATCTCTAAAAGCTGTAGAATTGCATCGTCGGGTCTGTTTGGATCTGGGTTTCTATTAAAAGCTTTACGAACTGCCGTTAAACCAGTAGTGTTATCGATATTGGTATACATAGAAGAAACGTCGATAGAAATTAAAATAGCATTAGAGGGAACTCGAATATTTTTTATTTTATTGACAAAATCGGTTGTGTCTTTAAGGTAGGCGCGATGTTGACATGCTAGAGGTAGTAAGAAATGATCAATGTATTCTGACACTGCATATGACTCACTACCACAGTCAGATATAATCGGGCGGCCTTTAGGGATTTTATTCAAAACCACTCCTTCGTTGGATTCTTATGGATTTTAGGCAAAGTGTACAAATGCCTCTCGCGACAATCAGGTTTGGCAAACAGATAGTCATATTGTTTCTGTTTGAGATAACTAGTTTTGACTAAATCGGCAAGAATATTGTTAATCATGTTAGCAGTTTCTTTGAAAATTGGTTTCGGTAAAATGGCATAATGTTTAGGATTATTCAGTTGATTCTCTGCTTCTGAAACGTAATCATCCCTATTCAGAATGACACAACATGAACCTTTGTCACTCTTTTTAATAACAATGCTATCGTCTTTCTTAAGTAAGTTTAACGCTTCACGTTCCACTCGTGTGAGATTAGGCTTTTCGTGTGTTATGGAAAGGTTCACTGTTTGGCTATTCATACTCGCAAATGCTTTCAATATTTCAGGATGGATGGCGGCCTGAGGGGGTGTTCACGTGGATTTAGGAATAAACATTGTTCTAGCACCACGTGGGGGGTGGTTTCGAAAAAAATATGTGCAGCTAAGATTTCGTTGAAATCGCTCAATGGATGGTGGGAGATAATTCAAGTTAGCTATCTTTGGTGTGGGAATAAATTTAAGTCCACGGTCTAAGATTGAATGCTGAAGGGGTGTGAGAATTTTGCGGCTCAAGTTAACTACAGTTTGGCCTAGCGGTGGCCTCTCAGTATTTTTATCCCCAGTAATTAGTTTAAAGACTTACTCGATGCTTGAAGCTGATGTATCCAAAACAAATAAATGCTGTTTGCTGTTTCTGGAGACCAATGAAGATTATCAACTGGTTCGAATTCTTCTTCGTAGGGTGGTAAGATTGTTGCGCTGTTCATACTGGACTCCATCATCATGTTGTTGAGAGTGCTGAGGTTCTGTTGTGCTTTCTTCGAGATTTTATTTGAAATGGGTATACATGTGAAGGGGATCTTGGAGTTTGGGAAGGTTTTGTTGGCTGTGGCGATTAATTTCGGGGCTTGGTTAAAGGGGGTCTTTGGTAGCTGATCACGGTTGTTGAGGCCTACATGAAGAATAATGGTAGTAGGTTTGGGATCATGGTCGTATGATTCCAGGATTGACCGTATGTGATGGATTTGGGAACCGGGATAAGAATGTATTTCAGTGTCTGAACTGGTTTTGGTAATTCGATTCAGGTTAGATGATCCAATAGATGGTGCAGATGTAGTGTCCATTTCAGGTGGTAGAGATATGGTTACTCTGGTTTTTGTTTCGTTGATTGTTTGGTAGAACTTGGTGATTACAGCTTGAGCGAGACGTTTCCCATAGGAGCGACGGGCCCAGGACAAGGCATGAGAAACGATGCGGTCGACGGCAGGTGATGATAAAGACTTGGTACGAATGGTGGTCAGCTTCTCTTGAAGTGTGGTTTGGTAATGGTCGATCAGGACCTGCGTAACCTTAGAGAGCCATGTCCGATTGAGGGATCTAATATTCGCGTCAACAGCTGATGTTTTCATTGCTGGACGGATAAAACTATCCAACTCAGAGACTTTGCGTTTGAAGGTAAACGCTGGTTGGCCTTGCTGTTGAAGGGTAAAGATTGCCAAATGATGGAGGCACTGCAAAACTTGGAAGAACGCCTTCACAAAGGGTTCTTCCTCCTTATGAGTGGGGACTGGTTGGCGTCGGTGGGCTGGTAGTCGTTTCTGTTGTTGGTCAGGTCGATGGTTACCTCTTGATTGGTAGGTGTTGTAGGTAGGTCGGCGATGGGGTGGGATATAACTGGATGGGTTGGTTGGTGGTCGGCGATTGGTAGGTGGTAGAGGGCGATGGAAGACAGGGCCGTTGTAGGGTACGTGATATTGGTTTGGTTGACGATTAGTGTTTCTATGTCTGGCTTCTTGCCAGTGGTTGTTGTAGTTGGGGAGCATAATGAAAATAACTTGAGGTTAGAAAGGGAATGTACAGAGGATGTAACAGGAGGAAACTGTATATGCTAGCGTGAAAATGTGGGGATCAAATTATGCAAATAAGTCAAAGTGGGTTTGGGGATATATAAAGAAAGATGAAAGTTATGATGAAAAATGCAAAAATATATATTTAGGTGATAAATAACGCTAACAATGATGTGAAAAATTATAACAAGTAAAACAAAAACTTACGCAATTGACACGAACCGGTTTTCGAAATATTATCCTTTTTCAAGTGTCTTTATTTCTTTCTGTCTTTTCCATTTTTTCTGTAAATCTTCATCAGTGAATGAATTACTTAAAGGTAGAGACAGAATTCCTCTGGGCGTTTTTAATGGGCATTGTGTTAGTTTTTTTACGTTTTTGATCATGATCCATCAAAACCGCTAGCGTTATGAGCAATTAATGTTATTCTTTTTTGATCTATTGATCATTTGATCGATACAATTTGTACCTACAAATATTTCTACTATATTAGTCATGAGTTTGTTGTAAAATTCTTCTGGAATGGGATCTGTCGGCTTTAAATCTGGAAAGAGATTATTTATTCTGTTTAACATTTTTCTTAGTTTTTCTAAATTAATTAACATGAAAGAATAAGGTATGGCTTTATTTTCGTTATAGATTTCGCAATCCCACGCGTATAAACAATCATCGGAAATGGTTGGAAAAACGTTTAGTTTTAGAGGTGAAACTTGCGTTACCGCATTATCATCTTTACAAGTTCTCCATACATTTTCATCGTAATCATCTTCTATTTCTTTAATGCCTAAGGTTTTGTTATTTCTTCTTATCAAACAGAAATGTTCTTTGTGTAAATAAAATACCCAATCTAATTCTTCGGATACTTTCTTTGGTTGAAAATGTCCATGTTTGGGCATATAAATTTGAAAATAAGTATTAAATTTCTTATTGATTTCGCCGATTCTAGCAGATGTCATAACTCCTTTTCTGTTTGATTTTGAAAAACTGTTGATGAAATCTTGAAAATCTCGTGTAGTCTTCGTTTAAAACACGATTAACGCACTTTACAAAGCAGTATCCATCGCTCGGTATATAACAATTTATACCGATATATTCATTTATCTTTTTGAGTAGAGTAACACCACTACCCTTTTTTGATCTTTTTATTTCTTTGAAATTGTTTTTACGAAAAATTATAATTCCTGTAAAATACCAATCAGAAGCATCCGATTTATTATCCACCGCAGTGAAGAAATTGACAAAAGTTTTGGTATTAAAACCTACAAATTTCATGTCTTGTTTGTATTTTCCATCTTGAGTTATCTCTCCATCTATTTCAATTTGCCCTTTAAATGTTGTAAATTCATTAGTGATAAGCTTAATAACATCGTAAAAAAGTTCATTTGATATGAATTTTTCATCGTCTAAAATTTCAATTTTATTCATATTTTTAAAGTAACTATTTTTAACTGGGAATTTTTAACTTTTATTGATGATATTTCTACATCAAATTTATCTAAAATTTCATTGAATTTTTCTAATTCTTCAACTGTTATGTTCTTGTCTTCTCTCGATCTTTCGAAAAATATAAACAATTTATTAAGATCTGTATTTAAAATTTCTGTTTTCCTTTTATAATGAGCTTTCTGTTTTGATGTAAAACCTAAAGTAATCAATCCACGAGATGAAATTTTTGTTTTTGTTGACTTTTATGAATATCAATTGAGGTAAATATATCATTATTAACAAAATATAGTTTTACTTATTCAAAGTCTGATGTTTGTAAAAACTCATAAGTGTTTGTTTCTTTTTGTGGTTCTGGATTTCTAATAATATTCATTGATGGTGGAGTTTCCGTTTCCAATAACATATCAAATTCAATCAATACAAATTGATCTATTTTATTATCTGGTATGATTAACATTCTAAACCTATCTATATATTTTCATTTGTTTTAATTTCATATAAGTGATTTTCCTTGCTGTTTTCGTCTTTAATTTTTAATTCTTTAGTTTCTACATTTTTTGTGCCATTGATAAACTGAAGAACTTTAAAAGCGATAAATTTATTATTTAATGAAATACGTCAGTGTTGTTTGAAGAATAATGAATCAACTTTTACCAGTATAGGAAATGTTATTTTAATTGTAAGTTTTCCTTGAAAAGTAAAAGGTGATGAATAAAAACCTGCATCTGTATCAAAAATATATTGGGGGTAATCAATACCTGTTGGAGAATATTCTCTAATATTTAGTGTAAATCCATATTTTTTATATTCATAATCTCTTGATTTATCAATATTATCAGTAATAGAAGTATTGTAATATCTCAAATTTTTAAATGGAAGATTGAAATAATATGATTCTTTCTTGAGAAACTTTTTTTCTAATGCAACTATATTTTTATCCTGTTTTAAAACTAGGTTATTAATAGTGGTTATCTGTTGTTGAATAACACTATCATCAATGTTCTGTATTTGTTGATGAATATAGGTTTTGATTTCGCTATCATCTATGTTTTGTATTTGTTGTTGAATATAGGGTTTGATTTCGATATCATCTATGTTTTGTATTTGTTGATGAATATAGGTTTTGATTTCGCTATCATCTATGTTTTGTATTTGTTTTTTAATATTTGTTAGTTCTTTTTGTAATTCAGTGTTAAGTTTAGTTTCCAGAGCATTTAATTCCTGTTGAAACGTATCTTCATTTTCATCTGGAATGTTATCTATCAATTGTTGAATGTCTAATTTTTGTTTTGCAATCTTATCCTCTAATTCAGATATTAATGAAATTAAATTTTGTAACTCAGTTTTATTCGCTACGTTGACCAATTCTTTTTGAATAAAACTTATTAATCTTTGTACCTCTTGTTGTAGTTTAGTATCATTAACAAAATTTTTATTATTTAGTTGACGTTTGAAGAATCTTTTCACATTACTTATTTTATCTTCTAAATGGTTTTTATTTACTTCAATTGAATTTATTTGTTCCCGTAAATGTTTCTTGTGAACAGCGTCATTATCGTTTTCCGGAGACTTTAAATTAGTTATGCTAAAATTGTTCATATCTAAATCACCTTGAAGAGTGTCTCCGATTTGATCCACGAAGTAAGGTTTCGCTTTATTAATCCACGTTGTAGTGTTAGGTTTTTTAGTTTCTAAAGATAAAGAACCTAATCCAAACTTGTTCGCCATTTTTATTGAGTTAAATTTATTGCAATTTCTTCGAACTGTTTTCCTAAACTCAATTGATATAAGACCCAAAGTTAAAGCTGACCACAAAACTTTTGTCCCGGTAATTGAATTTGAAAGGAAGAACATTTGATTGGTTTATTAGTCAATTGCATTATCTCTTCAGTGGGTTCTAATCCATAAGAATCGAAGAAATATAAGTTAGAGTCTTTGTACAAAGCAGAATGATGAACTTTTTGATCGGAAGTATGTATATTTGTTATCGCATAAAATTTACCTTTCTTATATTTCAGATCATTTATTTCATCTCTCATACAATAATAAAACGGTGATATATTTAACTCTTTTGCCCATCTAATAAGTTGAAAGTTTGTGGTTGTATCGGTTCCATATTTATCGAGAAATTCATTCATTTTTAAAAGTCGGTTTTTTTAAATATATACGTAGTTTATGTTTGAAAAAAATTGTATTACATTCTGATAAAACACATTCAATAATATTTTGAACATAAATTTAAATTTAATATTTCGTTCGTCCAGTATCCAACGTAACCTTTTTCGAATTTGCTTTTATATTTGAAAATACGAACTCGATCTCCGACTTTAAATTTAGGTTTGATATTTAAATTCTTTATTTCATTTTCGTAGTTATGTTGCGCGTTAATTTACTTTATAGTATTTGGATTACTCGAGGCCTCTGTTGGTGTGACACCTATAGAAGAATGAATTTTGTTATTGTATTCATCGACAACAACTGGTAATATTTTATTCCGTGAATTTTTTGAATAATTTATTTTTTAGAGTCCTGTTAAATCTTTCTATTACTACAGCTTTACCTTCGTTATGCGTGCTGTAAATTTCAAATCCCAGAGATTTCATATTTTTGTTATGAAATTCACTTCCTTTATCTACCCACAGTTTTTCTGGATGTCGGTTAGATTGTTTCATAATCGTTTCAAATGCGTGTTTGACTGATAATCCCGTTTTGTTTTTCAAAGGAATAACCCATACATATCTCGTATACAAATCTATAACTGTTAAGCAATATTTAAATCCTCTTTTGACTGGCATATGAATTAAATCGGCTGATCATATTTCATCTTTTTCAAACACTTTTACTTTTAAAAAGTTTTTAGTTTTTCTAAATTCTTTGTGAATTTCATCCGCTAATCCCATGCCTAATTTCATCTTTGCTTTCAAGAGTTTTATGATTAATGCTCTTTCCATTCTCTCTTTGAAAGTTGGATTTGGAATATTTTCAAGCTCGATTATCATTTGTCTGTCTGCTTCGTGTCTGAAGTTTATGTCTGTGTTTCTGTATAGTATGTCGTGTTTAAGCGAAGCGGCGTCAACTCTATTGACTGGTTCTTCCCCTAGTTTGGGTTTATCGTTTTCGTCTAATCGTAGATCTAACCTACTACCTGGACCGGTGTAATTATGACCGGGAAGATGTTTTTCTCCGGGATATTTCGCCCATGGAAATCCAGGAAGAGAACCCAATGATTTTTGTATATCTCCTGAACCGAAATAAGTTTTTGGAGCGTGAGCGACTATCATTTTTATCCTATGACTTTAAAACCTTTTCCTTTCCTTTCTTCTAATCTCCTGTTTCGAAGATCTCTTATTAGCTCTAATTCTTTCAACTCGTCAGACTTTTTCACTGCGTCGCTTATACTCTTTCCCGCTTCCGCGATTGAGCCGATGGCTTTCGCTCCGGTTGAAATGAGTGATTTGTTTTTTGAAACAATGGTAGCTACTTTTGGAATTATTGTTTTACCTAGAGAAAATAATGAAGAAAAGAAACCGTCGCCCGAATAATCTTCGAATCTGTGTTGTTCGTTTTTTAGAATTTAACTCATCCTATTTTTAAATGAATTAATTTAGTCTGTTTTTTTTTCAAAACAAGAGTTATCTCCCTTTTTCTAGACTGAAAATAACATTACTTAAAACGAGGTTATTAAAAACCGGATGTTAAGCGAAACAAGGATGTTATTTTATATAAGAGTATTTTTAATATGCTTTTTTGATGGAATGAAGGAAATTGATTGAAGGTGTTTTTTGGTGTATGAAATGTAGGATGTTTTATGAAATGTAGGGAATTTAGGTCTTTTTTAAGTGTAAGAATTTATGAAATGTAGGATGTTTTGTAGGGAATTTAGGTCTTTTTTTTTTGGGAGTTAGTATAGTATTCTTCATCTGTCAACCTAAAAATTCTTACTCCAAAATTGTTATTATTCAAATATATTGTAGTTTATGAAATGAAATTAGCATACAACTTAAACTTTGCTTTCACTGGTCTCCAAGTTACAACTTCAAAATATTTTCAAGAGGTATTATGCAAATATGTTTCAGAAAAAAAACAACACGTTTTTTGATTGCTAAGCATCCTTTTTTCTCAGTCAGTCTATAGAGACTCTAACAAGAGATTTCTGGTCAAGATCCAGTCTGGGTGGAAACCATCTTTACTTTGTTATATTTAAAGAGAAGTTGCTATAAGAAGAATAACAAGACAATCAATGACAATTACCTTTATTCTAAGTGACAGAATTTGTATACATTATTATATAATATTACATATTATGCTTAATGTAAATACACATATAAAACATAAACAATAACTGATAAAATTTATATATAAATACAAACAAAAATGACTAGGTCAAAAAAATACTTCAGATTATTAAAGATAGCTTGCCAGGCAAGGTAATATACGATCACTGGCATCTTTGATTTTAAATAAAAATATGAAAGAGCAAGGGCAATAACTCATACTAAATATTTTTCAATTCTTCTGATTTTCAATAGGGTTCATCCTTGGGTGATAAGGAACATTCACACCAAGTTTCGTCAAAATCTGTCAGGAATTGTCCCTTTTAGAGTGTTTACAAGCTAAAACTTGAACGCGTTTTCAAGAACAAGGGCAATAACTCAAACTAAATATTTTTCAATTCTTCTGATTTTCAATAGGGTTCATCCTTGGTTGATTATGAACACTCACACCAAGTTTCGTCAAAATCTGTCAAGAATTATGCCTTCTAGAGTGTTTACGAGCTAAAAATTGAACGTGTTTCAAGAACAAGGGCAATAACTCATACTAAATATTTTTCAATTCTTCTGATTTTCAATAGGGTTCATCCTTGGCTGATAACGAACATTCACACCAAGTTTCGTCAAAATCTGTCAAGAATTGTGCCTTCTAGAGTGTTTACGAGCTAAAAATTGAACGTGTTTCAAGAACAAGGGCAATAACTCGTACTAAATATTTTTCAATTCTTCTGATTTTCAATAGGGTTCATCCTTGGGTGATAACGAACATTCAAACCAAGTTTCGTCAAAATCTGTCAGGAATTGTCCCATCTAGAGTGTTTACAAGCTAAAACTTGAACGCCTTTTCAAGAACAAGGGCAATAACTCATACTAAATATTTTTCAATTCTTCTGATTTTCAATAGGGTTCATCCTTGGGTGATTACGAACACTCATGCCAAGTTTCGTTAAAATCCATCAACAATTGTCCCTTCTAGAGTGTTTACGAGCTAAAAATTGAACACGTTTTCAAGAACAAGGGCAATAACTTATACTACATATTTTTCGATTCTGCTGAATTTCAATAGGGTTTATCCTTGGGTGATTAACGAACTAAGTTTCATCAAAATCCATCAAGAATTGTGTCTTGTAGAGTGTTTACGAGCAATTGTGGACCGACCGACAGATGGACATGGGTGACGGCAATATACGCCCCCCATTTCATGTGGGTGTATAAAAAGCACTGTGTTTAAGTCAAAATTGAAAAAAAAAAAACATAAAAGATATTGTCAATTTCTAACTTGACTCCAATATGATCAACATTCCTATGAATATTAAGTACCAACGTGACTGGATGTAAGTAAAGCTTCAATCGCGTTGACAAGCTTTATTTAACAAATTACAAGTACAAGTCAAAGACACTTAATAAAAATCAAGTTGACTGAGATATTATCCATTTATCAATGCATACCAATCAACATGAGGGTAGAGATTTCAAATACGATCCTTAATTCTCATATTAAGTGTTTATGTTGGACAATTTTATAATCTATGATCTATTACTACACGGTATATGTTATAAATCATAATTAGCTTTACAGAATGCATCCTGATTAGTATATAGATAGTATATGTTGAAAATTTTTCCCATTATTTGATGTGATGTCTACTCATAAATGGGGATTAAGGAAAAATAATTAATTGCGCTAGCCTGTGACACTGAAACTTGCAGACAGTCTAGCCTAGGGTAACAATATCAATGGTTACTACACTTAAGGAACAGCAATATTTCTCAACCCCTGATCTTTGACCTAAAGAAGCACAATGTGATAAAAAGTTGAACCTGTTCACATCAAGGATATTTTCTACCAGAGATAGAAATTTTAGTTCGTTTTATGTCTAGCAAAGTCAACATATATGTATTTTCTATATTTAACTTAGACCATGTGACTCTTTTCTTCTTCTACGTCTTCATCCTCTGATTTTCCTTGTGTTTTCTTTGGACCACATATAGACAAAACAACTGGTAATAGCAACAGAGAATGAGCTAAGCCAAAAGTTATGACCAAGACCATAATTTTGAAAAAGGATCTGAAGACGTAAGACTGAGACCAAATAAGAGTGCATATGCCAAGCAGAGATGATATTCCTCCATTTAAAATTGGTGCAGCCGACACTCTTAATGCATCTTTAGTTCTCTCATGTCTGGATACTGAATCCGAGGAAATGAAACCATGACAAACATGGGCACTGAAATCTACAGAAAATCCCACACTCATGATTAAATGTATCATAGTGATAGAACTTAATGATAAATCCCAGTAGTAAAGGAAACCTAAAATTCCTGCCAAGATACTGAACATATTAAGGGTGACCAGTGTTACCATGATAGGGTGGGGCATAAATAAAATAGTAATAACAAACATACAAGCTACTGCAATACCCATTGTCTGTAGGGTACTTGGTAACACCATTACATATTGTTCAAAATATATAAATGGAGCACTGAACGGGAAAATATTCAAATAAGATTTGGAAGTTATCTCCCTTAGACGTAACATTAGATTGCCCTGGTCTTTGGAATCAGGGATGGCCTCTGTTATAAAGTGACATCTTGATGCCAGAATATCAGACCCATCAGACATGAAAGTAACATCATTGGAAAAAACAATTGCTTGCGACAAGAAACTTTGTGACTGTGCTATAAATGTATTTCTATCTGTATCATTATTAAAGCCTGGTACACTACTTTTAAAGGCATTAAACCAGCATATCAACGAACCATCAGCAATCATAGAATCATCTTCAACAATCTTTAAGATCTTTTCCATACCAGAGACTTGATTTGGGTCTAAATAATCAACATCTTTAAACACAACAGATATTGATAAGACCATCTGATAATTCTCACGACTCCATATTTGATAACTGTAAAAATATGACTTTTCATGTACTAAATTACTTAAAAGCAAACCTTGTCGTAAATTATAAATACCCCAACCAGATGCACCTAAATAACCTAAAAATAAAATTATAATGACAATCTTAACAACTATTATAATGGGCGTGGAAATTGAAATTCTCAAAAGAAGTTGAGGTAATTTCTCACATAAACTTTCATCATCTTCTCGTTTTGTTGGTACTTTCCATTCATTCTTACATTTATGATCTTCATTAATCTTCTGACAAGTGACACAATGTCGACGGTCTCTTACTCTTTTACCGTGAATTGCCAAACAACCCAGAAAAAATGTTAAGTGAAGGACAAAGCTGAAGAACAACGCCATGGCTGAAATGAAACAAAATAAAATTTGTGCTTAAAAAGTCACTGATTTTTATCCCTATTTCCTAATACATGTACAGGGATCAATTTAACCTGTATTGCATCATAGTTTGCTGGTCAAAATGAACCTTCTTGCCCTTGCCATCAAATATTTCTAACCAAATCAAATTGTGATTTTGAGAATTGTACAGCAACTTGTAGTCTCTATTACCTTAAGACTAGCTTCATTGGCAAGATCCATCTAACAACTTGCACAGCATTGATGAAGGTTAGATTTCGAAAGATGTCAATGCTTATCACAGAGATTAAAGTTTCCCTTTATTTTGTCCAAGGTAAATGAACCACAAGCAGCTGTTACAAGTCAGTCTATGAACTGACACTACATTATTAGATCAGCAAGTGACTTTTTTCAATGAGTAATACTGAAAATGGTTACCTGTATAAACACAAAAGTTTCTTATACTGATAAAACTCGATGAAACACCAATAAGAAAAGCTATGATATCAGTTAACGATGCTATACTAATAGATCCACCACATTTCTCCAATGTTGCACCCATTTGATCTTCTACAGAAGTTTCATCATAATGTTCTGCCCATTCTGACATGATAACAAACATACAATCAATACCAACTCCTAAAATTAAAATAAACTTTCATTATTATACATAAAATACTACTAAGATAGCTTGTGAGGCAAGGTAACATACGCCCACTGGCAGCTGCCAGAAATGATAAAACAGTCTTTAGTGACTAAAGTACGAATTTTTTCATTTTGAAGAAATTTTAATTAGTTTGAATTCAATTACATATATATGCCAGTTATTTATGCTGAGTAATTCCACAAAATTTTTAACATCAATATCAATTATACAAATACAACAAATCACACAGCCCTAATCAAGGGCAAAAAACAACTTTTGACGCGTGTTCACAAAGTCAAGGGCAATAACTCAAAAAAAGTTCATCAAAAATATCTCAAGTTAGAACTTGTCCAAGATCTTATCAATTCCAATGATCACACCAAGTTTCATCAAAATCGGTTGAAAACTGTACCGTCTATTGTGCTCACTAACAAATTTTGACACGTTTTTCATAAGTCAAGGGCAATAACTCAAAAACCGTTCATCGTCAAGTTAGAACTTGTCCGAGATCTTATCAATTCCATTGATCACACCAATTTTCATCAAAATCGGTTGAAAACTGTAGCTTCTATTGTGCTCACAAACAAATTTTGCAGCGTTTTACAAAGTCAAGGGAAATATCTCCGAAAGCGTTCATTGAAAATACCTTAAGTTAGAACTTGTCCGAGATCTTATCAATTCCAATGATCATAACAAGTTTGATCAAATTTGGTTGAAAACTGTAGCTTTTATTGTGCTCACGAACAAATATTGACGCGTTTTTACAAAGTCAAGGGCAATAACTCAAAAACCGTTTATCAGAAATGCGTCAAGTTAGAACTTGTCCGAGATCTTATCAATTCCAATAATCACACCAAGTTTCATCAGAATCGGTTGAAAACTGTAGCTTCAATCCTGCTCACGAACTATTTTTAACAAATTTCAACACGTTTTAACAAAGTCAAGGGCAATAACTCAAAAACCATTCATCGAAAATGCGTCAAGTTAGAACTTGTCCGAGATCTTATGAATTCCAAAGATCACACCAAGTTTTATATTTCAGCAAAATAGTACCCAAAGCAGGGTCAATTGTTTTGTTAGAGATTTGAAATTGCACAAAGTAAACTCATCGACATTGTTGGCAATAACATTCATAATTACAATGTGAAATAGATTACTTACCTAATGCTAAAAATGGCATCACACCAACTATGTCAACAAAATTTACGATTGGTGCACAGAGACCAAAGGCAGCTAGGATAGCAAATGCTACCCCCATAACTCCTGCACGGGCCAAATGACTTCTATTAGCTACACAGTTACCACTTGAAGCAACAAAAGAAGCATAAACTATCAATGCAGTAAATGATAAAGAAAAGGAAGTAATATCTTGTCCAGTGTTAGCAGAGAGTTCTTTGTCCAAAGATGTTGATGTTGAAAAAACAAAATCAGTTAAATTAGTTGTGAGATTTGACATTTCAGTTACAAACTTTTCTTCCCATATTTTACTCATGGCGACATCAGTTTGGCGTAGGTTGAAGATAATTTTGATGGTAATTACTGACTGCAATGTTCCATTTTTACTGATACCATTCATTGACTTTGATACATCCTCTTGAGTACCGTTAATAGTTCTCCATATTGGATAGGTAATGTCCTCAGTTTCAAATAAAGTTAGAAAATTGGGATGAAGAATGTATTCTCCAGTTATAAAACATTGTCCACCAAGTACAGCACAAACATGGGAATAATTTATATCTGTACCATTATAATTAATAGTAAATTCTTTCACCTTGGACACAACACTTCTAATTTCATCTATTACATCAAGTCTTAAAGCATTTCCACCATTTTTGGATTTAAAAATAATATCACCATACATATTAAGTCTAGCTAAACTCTGAACAAAGTAATTTGAATCAGATTTATCAGGAAACAATTTTTCAACAGTCCTTCTATCTTCTTCAGATTGACTATTTATAGGTACATAGAGTGTCTCTATATCTGATTCACTGGTAAGTTTTATTAGTCCAATCCCAAACAATCCACATATAATAACTGGTATTATTATAAACCACCATGGATTATTGGCTATAATTCTACCATATTTGTTGAAACAATTACCAATACATTTATTATGTTGACTGGCCATTCCACCTGAAAATAAAATAATAAAAGATAGCTTGCCAGGCAACGTAACATACACCCACCACCAGCTGTCAGAAATGGTAAAGTCTTTAGTAATGTGTTTTCTCATAATCTCAAAGGGACATTTTTTTGTAAAAAGTTTTCATTACCAAAAACATTGTAAATTATACTTGAAAATATTTCTAAATTATGCTGAATTTGTTTTAAAAGGGTTACTCAAAAACAGAGATGACTAATTGTTAATTAAGCAGTTTGACCTAGTTTTAGCGTTTGGCTTTGCATTGGCTCTATGTTATAAATTGAAACCTTTAAAATACTAGTAGACATATTTCCCCACAATTGAGCTTTTATGTTACTTAAATCCATTCAGTTGTAATTTTCTATTAGCTTCCAAAAAGTATAACAAACTTTAACAGTATATGCAAGCTTAGTTTAACATTTCAAATAGTCGGCTGGATTTTTTTATTTCAAACTTTCAGATGCGTTCAGGCCTGTTAAGGAACATATTTCTCCAGGTTTTGGTGTATAGTTTTCAAAAATTTGACCAAATCAGAGGAATGCCCCTTTAGATATATTTTATAAGTCAAAGCAATACCTCAAAAACAGTTAATCAGCTAATTTAAACATAGACAAGGTCTCATCAACATACACCTTTTTTTCAAATTTCATCAAAATTGAATAAATAAGACTACTGTAGCCTCTATAATCTTTACAGATCAAATATAACACCCTTTAAAAGTCAAGGCCAATTCCTAAAAAATACAAAATATTGTCAATTTCGAACTTGACCAATATCAATGTATAACAAGTTTCATCGAGATCAGGTAAATAAGTGTAGCCTTTATTGTGCTTACATGCCAAATTTGACCCATTTTTTCTAAGTCAAGGGCAATAACTCCATAATCAGATGAGTGCTATTTGATCAACATACATGCATACAAGGTTTCAAAAGATCATATTAAAACTGCCTCTATCGTGCCTTCAAGCCAAATTTGGCCTGTTTTTGCTGAGTTAAGGGCAATAACAAACTTTTGACGATATATCATGATACCAACCATATATCACAATATTGTGATAATTCTTTTTTAATCAGGCAATATAACTAAGGATATAAATTCCTATCTTGATACTGGTATATCGCCCAGCCCTAATATGCATACAAAGTTTCAACAAGATCGAATAAAGATAGCTTGCCAGGCAAGGTAACAAACGTCCACTGACAGCTGTCAGAAATGATAAAACAGTCATTAATGATTAAAGTATGAATTTTCTCATATCAAAGAAATTTTAATAGTTTGAATTCAATGATATATAATTATATTTACCGACAGTTATTTATGCTAAGAAATTTCACCAAATTTTTAAAAATCAATATACCAAATTACAAATAAAAATCAATTAACCAAAATACATCAAATTATCTCATCAATATACATGATCAAACCATGTTTCATTAAAATCAATTGAAAATTGTAGTCTCTAATGTGTTCACAAACAAATTTTGACGCGTTTTTCATAAGTCAAACCTTTCATCGAAACATCATCAAATTCGAACTTGTCCAAGATCTCATCAATATACATGATCACACCAAATTTCATTAAAATCTGTTGAAAACTGTAGTCTCTTTTGTATTCACAAACAAATTTTGACGCATGTTTTTTAAGTCAAGGGCAATAACTCAAAAAACGATCATGGAAAAATCATCAAATTTAAACTTGACCAAGATCTCATCAGTATAAATGATCACAATATAGCTAATAGAGTGAAACGTCAAGTCAGACACGATATTTCGATGAAAAATTATCCGATCATCACGAAAATTGATAGGGATCATCTTCATAATGACATTGACACACAAAATCAAAATCAAAATCAAAAGAATCTGTAAAGAATTGTAGCCTGTAGAGTGAGCATGATCCAAATGTGAACGGACGGACCGACAGGGTGATTACAATATACGCCCCCATCTTATGTGTGAGCGTATAAAAACTGCAGCCTCTATTATGCCTACAAGTCATATTTGCCGCATTTTTATTTAGTCAAGGGCAATAACTCCGAAACCGTTCATCTGATTACTACCAATTACGAACTTGACCGATATCATCTATATATACATGCATACCAAGTTTCATCAAGATAAGACAAAAACTGCAGCCTATATTTTACCTACAGGAAATGCGAACAGACAGACAGACATATGATACACCCACAATTGTAATGGCAGCCAAGTTGTCTGGTACAAAAGCTATCAGTAAATGAAACATTCCGAGATTTACTTTTCATCTTACAAGAAGTTTATTCACAGCCTTTTTCTTATTTTTTTGATTATCATCCTCGGTGACAATAAACAATTCCAATAAGTTTCTTTAAAAATCTGTTGAGAATTGTGCCTTCTTCAGTGTTAACAGACTAAAATTTAGCAAGTTTTCAAGAAGAAGGGCAATAACTCATATCAAATATTTTTAAATTATTTTGATTTTCAATACGGTAATAATTAACAATTTTACTGAGTTTCGTCTAAATCTTACAAAAATTGTGTAATACACAGCTCTGAGCATGGCAGTGAGACCTTATATGAACATTTTGAAACTTCTAGCTTTCAGCCCCAGTGCTTTTAAGCCTACAATTTGTGAACAAGAAATTAAAACTCTAGGGCATCTTGGAAATAAATCAAGTATATTATTACATTCAGGAAATACCACGTTAATTTTCTTTATTTGTGAAGGAAAATAGATACAAAAGTTAAGGGCGTAAAAATCCTTGTGGACATTAGAGGGCACACAATCACAATAAATCATGGACAGCCAGCTCAAGAAAGAATTAGGATGAAGAGTTATATATATGGTATTACTCATTATAGTCCTCAATATCACCTTAATTGGCCTCAAAAAATGAAAATATTGTCATCTCATACTAAATATTTTTCTGATTTTCAATAGGTTTGACCAAGTTTCGTCAAAATCCATCAAGAAACCAGCTCTCTATCGTGTTCACAAACAATTCAAGAACAAGGGCAATAACTCATAGTAAATATTTTTCGATTAATCTGATTTTCAATAGGGTTCATCCCTGGTTGATAACAAACTCTCACACCAAGTTTCGTCAAAATCTGTCCAGAATTGTGCCTTCTAGAGTGTTTACAGACTACAAAATTAAACGCGTTTTCAAGAACAAAGGCAATAACATACTAATTATCTTACAATTTTTCCGATTTTCAACAGCGTTCATCCTTGGGAATTACAAACAATCATACCAAGTTTTATCAAAATCAGTCAAGAATTGTGCCTTCTATAGTGTACAGTTTACAGTGTTAGCAGTTGTGGACGGAGTGACAACAATATACCCCCCCCCCCCCCCTTTCATGTGAGAGTATAAAAAATGATGAATTAGAAATTCATATTGAATTGTGTGTCTGTCCATGTGGAAAGGCACCTTTTATGCTCTTGAAACTACTCTTGTTTTTCTTAGCAGATTTTTTTTTTTGACTTGAAATTTATTGTGTGAAATGGTGTGTGGTTTTCTATTTTATGAAACAGATTAAAATATAGGCGTACATATTGAAATAAAAGAAAATGATACTTTATTCAAATTTCAAGTCTAAAGGGAAATGACTAATAGTTGATTAATATTATGTGATAGCTTAGAAGGCAAGGTTACATACCACTATACCATGCTGTCAAAAATACATAACAATGTTAGATTTACAATACAAATTTTCATATATTAAAGAACTTTATGATGCTTGTCTTTCATAAAACCAATGTTTTCTAAACATTTCTGCTATCTATGTTCCAAAAACCTAGAAACAAGAAGAGACTAGAGCCACTCGTGGCACAGAGTGGGACTTTGCAAATGTAGCAAATTGCAAAAGACCCCGAAAAAATCATCCTTCCACGATAATTAGATCAAGCGCAAGAACAGTCTAAAGTTGAGAAATTTTCATTTTTTAGAAGATTCTAATACCGGAAGTAGACGTCAGACCTCACAAATGAAAGTATCAGCAGATAGCCAAGGTCAATGACCTTTGATCTTGTAAAAGAGAAGGTCTAAAAAGGTCAAGATCAAGAGATATACGTCATCAAAATTTCTAATTGCACACGACTATAAAACCTGAAGTTGACATAGGACAGCAAATATGAAAGTACAAATAGATAGCCAATGCCAATGACGTTTGATCCTACAAAGGTCAAGGTCAACAAAGGTCAAGGTCAAAAATTGAAAATTTTGAATTTCGAAAACCTGTTTTGAACTAAGAAGCGGAAACAACCGAAATTCTAAGACAAAGTGGCTCACAATATGAGGTAATTGTATGCAAAGTTCCATTTTGAACAAACTTATACTTTGCGAGTTATGCTCCTGGCCAAAAATATCAATAATGAGTAATATAACCCAGATGTGCCACGCCCACCTTAATTTTTTTTGCATAGGGTAATTGATATTCCAATTGTTATGTTGTGTTTTAAATTTCAAGCTTCTACATTATTCAGGTCAAAAGATATAGGTCAACAAATGTCAACAAAGGTCAAAATCGAAAAATGAAAATATCCAAATGTTAAAACCCGTTCCTTTTTTGGAACTATAAAGCTGAAACAACTGAGCTGTTAACACAAACTGGCCAAAAAGGATGAGGTCATTGTGTGCAAAGGCCCTTTTTTAACAAACGTATCCTATGCGAGTTATGCCCCAGCCCCAAAATGTAAACAATTAGTAATTCAACCCGGATGTGCCACGCCCACCCCAATTTTTTTGTCATAGGTGAATTCATATTCAAAGTGTCTAGTAGTATTCCAAATATCAAGGTTCTACATAAAATAGGTCATAAGATATACATACACCAAGATCAAAATGACACAAATATGGTAAAACAAAACTCAAATTTGAAAAAATCACCAATTTCAATTTTGCTTTAAAAGAACGATTGTTCTATATCTATGTAAAGTGCATGAAAAGCACATTAGGAAACCGAAAAAATTAACCCTCTAGGTTAATTAGGTCACGTGCTA